CCACTCCTTCACTGCTGCTTTAAAGCACTGTTATCAACAAACTCACTAATATCCATTTGTAGGGTTAATCAATCATCTGGGTCACTGTGGTTCACTGTATCTTCAGCTTAGAACCTCCACACGTGCAATGTCAAGACCCACAAGGCTCAGTACAAGATCTGACCTGTGAAACATTGTTACATCAAAGTGGATTCTGCACCCATCTGGACCCATTCTAATCAGATTTACTACACATCTGAGTACAATGACACACCATGGACCTGACAATGACAAGCATATTCTGGAAGCCAGTTTTAGGCTGCTGTTCCATCAGAGAGAAGCTGATGCAGGTCTTCGTGCTCAGCTGCTACTCTGATATCAATTAGATGCAAATTCCACCACCGCCCCCAAAACCACAAACTTTCTAGCATTCAGACACACATGTTTCCAGCTAACAGTGTTAAAGAGGAGGTTTCAATGTCAAACCTTTGAGGACGAAACTGATGTCAGCCCAAGTGTCCGACATCTTTCTGTATGCTTTCTTAGTCATTAGGATATTTTTTCGGGGCTTTTAAAGATAAACATTTTTGACAGTTAGGCATGCTACTTGTCTCCAAGAAAATGACAAATAACCTTCAATGAGCCATAGGACTCCTGGTAGCATTGCCTTGGCTTTTCACTTTCCCTGGCTAATTCTGTCCGCTTGCACAATCAAACCTCTGTGGAATAGGAAGCTCTGTTTTTTGTTTTTAGCATCCTTGCTAACCATAACTGCTTTCCCACTCAAAGTTGCATCTTTGTAATTGCAAACTTTAAAATGATTCTTTCTTTCCTCTTGAAAGTTTTTGCTGTGGTTGTTGGACAGTGTCAAACCTGTGCTGTGTTTACTGTTCAATGTATTGGCATGAGCAGGCATTCCTAGTGATATTTAGGTCATCTGTATGTGAAAGAATAGTGTGCTGTCCTAAAATGTGCTCTCTTAAATATAGTATGAGGTCAAAAGTCATGTCTGTCTCTCTGGCATTAGAAAAGTGAGCTGTATGAACACGTAAGTCTTCACCTCGGAGAACCACAGAAAGCCATTACAGTGAATCCATTTGCTGTAACACACCCATCTTTTTACTGTAAACTTCAAACACTTTTTTAAAATCTGTTAATTACACAACATTTGACTCCTTGGTGAAGCTGAATCAGTAATTTATACTCATATTTCTGAGCTACACTTCATTAAAGGATCTTTCTGAGACATTTAAGATGAAAAAAAAACCCCAATTAGAAACGCTCCCCATTTGGCTCTTGGCAGGAAAGTTGGGCCCAGTGCCACAGTTCATTAACTACAGTGTACGCAGACCTGCGTCTTACAGCAGCCCGGTGAAATTACAAGGAACCACTAGCAGTCATAAATAACAACCTGCACTGACAAGATCAATTACATGACTTTTGAAATGAAACTTTAATATCTTTATATAATTGTGCCGTGTGAGGAATGTGTGGTATGTTTGATGGAATACTCAGGTTTTGACAGATTTCACAGTGACCAAGGGAGGGAGTTGTTTTCTCTGTTCGCAGTCTCTTGTCTGCCTTGGTGAACCTTGTACTGGAGGATCTATTTTTCAGGAAAAAAAAAGCTGTTGTGTTTCATGTATACTGTATTTTGCCTAGCTTTAACCAGTTCCTGAACCAAATCAACCTACTTATTGTTTTTGTTTCATTTATACATATGCCATCATTTGTCTCTTTGTCCTGTTTGGTGTCTTCTAGTTATCTGTTAGCATTGCCCAGGGCTAATATTTAGTTATTTATTGTTGTGTTTGGGATATATTTTGATATTTTGACTTTTTTTTTATCAAGTGATGAAGTTTTTAAAAATATTTATATTAATCAAGATGAAGTTTTTAAAAATATTTATATTATTATTATTTATAAATAATAAATATTTGTCACATGTTTTGCTTTTTATATTATTATGTTGTTTTAAAAATTGACTATTTATTTTGGCTAGTATCTAGGGATTCTCAGCTAACCTTTAAAATTTAATTATATTTGCATTACTCTTATTTTGTGAAGTAATATTAAAAAATAATTTTGATAATTTGTATCAAATTATATTAAAAAATATTATACCTTTGTTTCCCTTTATACAAAAGCTCTTAAGATAATAGGGTTTTTTTTGTCTATTGCTTTAAGTTGTTGTTGTACCTAAAAAAATTAGACTTTAAAATTGATCATTTTTTGATAATTTTTGACCAAATATATGGTTACTCACGACCAATTGGTCATTGATGGATGTTAGGAGAACATAAACATTGTATCAATGCCTTTTAACGATATAATGCTGTTAATGTTTTTTTCAGAGATTACTCCAAGGCTTATACATCATATTTGATCCCTAATGTCAGACTACAGGCCGATCAGGGTTAAGATATTACTGTGCTTCTACAGCAGGATTACAACGTGGCCACATCCAGACACCAGTAAGCTTGTGTCATTAGGCAGCTGTGGCCTGGTTGTGTTTATATGGTTGAGTGGCTGCAGTATATAGGTGGATCAGTAGAAGCAGTTCCCACACCCTCTCAGGTGTCCTGTGCTCAGGGCAGCCCAGTCCGGGCTCACACAGATAAAGGCTGCCTTTGTCTGCTGCAGGGAACAGGTAACCATTTGTACTAGCACTGCTCTGGTGTGTGTGTGTGTATGTGTGTTTGTACCTGTGTATGTGTGTGTTTACATGCAAACGTTTTGTGTGTGCATGTGTAAGAGAGGAGCGGTGGTAGCAGCGTTCTGTTGTCGGTGGAACAGGTGTTTCTTTTCAGTGGCCTCATAATCAGCACGAAGCACGTGTGTGTGTGTGTGTGTGTGTGTGAGAGTCTAAATGAAAGGAAGAAGAGCTGCCATCTTTCTTCAGTCTGTACTTAAAAAATACTATGAAAAGAAAAATATACTTTCATCACGTATGTTCACATGGCTATTGCCACAACACTAATGTTCTCTACCATCCCTTTAACATTGTTTTGAAAACAACAGTATGTTTGTAATCATCGAGGAGACGGACGGTTAACGGTTAACCTTTACAGTCTGAAGATACCGTTGTGTGTTTGTACTGTTTACATGGCAGTACATTTGGGAAGTATGCAGTAGTTTTCTATGTAAATACTGACATCTGTAAGTTAAATGCATGCTGGTAAATTCACTTTTTAAATATAGTTTCTTTTCTTTTTTTTCAACCTTGAATCGGGGTCTTTATCTTCTGTGCTGCAAAAAAGCTTCCTTTGCTTAAAGGTTAGCTAAGAAATAGCTAAAAGATAGCAACATCTATCTTTTAGCTATTTCTTAGCTAACCTTTAACCATTTTCTTGCTGGTGTGCCACCCCAAAGTCCATACGTTACCTTAAGATTACCTTTGATAAGAAAAGCATGGAATTAATTAGTGAGTAGCTACATGGAACAATATCTTTCTCTCTCTCTCTCTCTGTGTGTGTGTGTGTGTGTGTGTACACACCTGGCATAGCTAGACAGTATGTGGGGACACTACGTCTCTGTGAGGACACTAGTCCCCAATGAGTGAGATGTTATTTTCAGGTTCAAAGGGTTGGAGAAGAATAAGGATTAGGATTAGGCATATATTGATTCACTAGCCCCTCACGCTAACCCTTACTACACGGTTAGCGTGAGGGGTTAGTGAATGAATTATGTTTATTTGAAGTCCTCACAAAACACACTGTATCTGTGTGTGTGTGTGTGTGTGTGGCAGTAATTGCACCTGGCGTTTAAGTGAGCAGTTGAGGATTACCTTCACAGGAAACAGGAGGGTAAGAATTTGCCTGAGCTCACGGCTGTGTTTTTGAACAGCCTGTCAACAGCCTGTCACTGACTTTATGACCTTCTGCGGACACACACTCCATTTCTATACATTCATTTAGAATAAAAAAAGGTGCCTTGGACTACTGTCAGCTGACAGGAAGGTGGATCGAACATGAGAAGGAAAGGTCGGGTTTGAATTTCAGGTAAAAGGTGAGAGTACTGCGGATGTGAGGACTTCCTCCGTCTGTTCTGTCTGTTGTGGTTTTCTGTCTGGAGCTAGAGTACGTTTGTGTGCGTGTGTGTGTGCACGTGTGTGTGTGATGGACAGACAGACAGACAAATGTTAAGTACAGGGGCCGAATGCCTCGTGTGAAGAGGTCTTTAATTAGAGCAGGAAGACTCGGCTCAGAAGATACGCTGCTCTAGACTTTGGAGTGTGTTATTGTCTGTCCGTATATGTATGTGTGTGTGCTTTTGTGTGCACGTGTGTGTGAGGGACAGAGAGAAAGAAAGAGACATTAGGGTCTGACTCAGAAACATCCTGCACGTGTCTATACTTTGAGGGTCTTTCTTGATGTGTGTGTGTTTTGTTTATAAATAGTTTATAAAACTTACATAACTCTGAATACTGTTCATTTTACCTGAATACACTGAGTGAACAGTCAATTGGGTCGAAGGAATCTGTGGTAAGGAGCAGCAGAGCGCTGTCCAGTGGACTGTGTCTGATTGCAGGATCAGTGGTTTGCTGCTGTACTGGTTCAGACAAGACACCATTATGTTTTAAATGGAGACTTTCCAGTTTCCTCCTGGTATTTTCCTGTGTTTACTTTGGGCGGCCCAGACAAGACATTCCTCTGATTTTCTCCACAACATCATAGATAACGGAAGACGGAACTCTGGCAGAGTGTTCGTGTAAATCAAATGTGCCCATCTCATAATAAGGAAAACATCAATCAGTATGAATGGAATATTGTGATCCATGAGAGTGAATATGATTGACGTATAGGATACAAAATTAGTTAGCAACTATATTTCAAAAATATATGTTATTTACAATTGGATTGTTTTATAGAATTATGGAAAATAACTGGTCAACAAACCTAAAAAAAAAACAATAACAGCCAAATTCCTCAGTTTTAGTCTTGGTTAATGCTTTGGTGAATCCTATAAAACCATAAACTGTACAATGGAGTTTTAATTGAATGACTTTTTTGTCTTTGCAGCTCCCATGTGTTCACTCAGCCATGCTCCCTGGGTATGGATACTCACCTTTCCTTGATTTTCAACCTCACCTTCACTCTTTTCGCTGCCGTGGAGAGAGTCCCAGCATGTGGATCCCCGCCTCAGCAGAGTCCCAGGCTCTGAGCGAAGTCCAGGAGGAACGGCCACTCCTGCAACGGTGCCACCACAAGCATGTGGCCGTGTGTCAGCAGGAGACTCTGGCTTTCATTGAGCTGCAACCGCAGTTGACTCCCAGACTGAACGGCCTGGGCTCTCAGAGGCCGACTCTTATCCATGATGCACATTGTTTAACAAACTCCCAGCCTGAATGTCTGAATGGTTTCAGACATTCACTGAATGAACTGAACGACATAAAGAATGGCTTCCACAGGACTGATACGGGACATGAATCAACGACGTTGAACTCTCATACACACAATTCTGACCTTGAAAGTCAGAGTAGGACTGAAAAACCTCTGTCTGTCTCAACACAAAGTTGTCCTTCACCCATAGCTCTTAGTCTCCCTCTGTCATTCCCTCTTTCCTCCTTGTACACAAACAGAGACTCGTGGGAATCTCAGCTGCCCTTTTCTCCATCTTCACCTGAAGGTCCTATCTGTCAGAGCCCAAACTCCTGCCAGCCTCAGAGGAGGACCTCACAGGGTTCACTGAAGGAGAAGTCTATCAGTGAGTGTTTGCTGAAAAAAGAAAATTGCCATTTTTAAAACATTATTTTTTTTTGCTTTCTAATAATCCAATGATCATATTTGTGTTACTAGGGAGAAAGATGCAGGTTTACTCCTCAGACAGCCTGAGTGATGAATCCCTCAGCAGCCCAGTCCTGGATGCTGACTACATCTTCCCTGGTCCTTTTGGATCTTTTCTGGAGGAAGACCTCAGTGCATTATCTTCTCTGGAGCCCATTTCAACATCCTCGTCCATAGACAGTCAGAGTGATATTTTCAGTCTGCCCCCAGAACCACTACAGATATTAGAGGACTCCATACTGATGGGGCCTGAGGACAGTGGAAGTGTGGAGACGTCCATTGCCACAGGGGGGAGCCTTTTGACACGCATTCGTCAATGTGAGCAGGAGCGGCGGCGTTTCTCAGCGTCAGAACTTATTTCCCGACTGCAGCTTTCACAGAGGAAGAACTCGTTCACTCTGAAGCTGGGGAAGTCGCTGTCAGCACGTGTGTCCTCCAGGGACAGACAGAGCTCCAACAGTCTCAGCTGCAACCCTGACAGTGAGTAACAACACATGCAACATCAGGCGAACACAGGGAGCTGCCAAAGAATAATCAACCTCTCATTTTAACTGCAGGAGGAGAGAAGATTTGTTTTCCAGTAAATTAGATTAAATGTGTTTTCACATTAACACCAATGAAACACAGTAGAAACCAATAGAAATGTATTTGATTTTTAAAATAGATAGCCTATATTTTCCTGATCTACTTCAGCCCCATGTTGCCCTGGAGTATTCAGGGGCAAAAAAGTCGACGTGTGGAAACATGTCATTTAGTTACTTCAGGTCTTTTGTACAAGACTGTGACGTCAGTTTAATAAATGATGTTACTATTTGATGGATGAGGGCGTATGGGTTAATATACAGGATTTTGACTAAATGTTTGCTGGTTTGAATCCTATATTATGACAAATGGTCCTATATTTGTATTCATTTTGTCAAATGAACTTAATTCTCATTGCACAGACTAAACAAACTAGTAGCAGAAATCTACAAAAAAGAAATAACATATAATGTTTATCGTAGACTATTTCAATAAATTCTGTCCTTTACCTTTTATAACTGAGGTGTTTTTGCTTCATTATCTAAACTTGCATGTTTTTTTCTTATCTTTTTCAGATAAACCCAACACCAGGCATCGCAGCTCTGGAGGCTCCACTGACAGCGCCCCCCAGAGTCCTGTGGGACCTGCACCCTCTCTGCCCGCCAGCGAGAATGGGATGCCTTTGCATAGATGGAGTGCAAAACTGGGGTAAATAACACTTTAACAGATATGCTGTGAAAATGATTAAATGTCAGTTGATTTTTTTTCCCTCTAACTTTTCTTTACAGAATGCGAAAGAAGTCTGTAGAAGAAGACCTGAACTCACTTCCATCAGTGGCTAATTCCAATCGCTTGTCGAGGTTTTTACCAAGTTGTGAGTTTTCCCAAAATACTAACTTTTATCATTAAATGCTTGTATGTTTTTCAGGACTATTTTTTTCTTCAAGTTATATCTATATACATATGTATATATTTTTTAAAAAAAAACATTTTTCTTTTTCAGCGATTCTCTATCAGGAATACAGTGATGTTGCCATTAACAGAGAGATCCAGAGACAACAAGGAAAGGAGCCTGGTACGGAGGAGGAGTGTCTCAGGGACGAGGGCTTCGACGGAACACCGTCTCCGTCTAATTTGTCCCCATCCAGCTCCTTCCGCTCATCTCGAGGCTCGGCTTTTGCTCTGTGGCAGGACATCCCTGATGTAAGAACCAGTGGACAGCTGGACAACTTCAGCAACGAGGAGAGGAAATTACAGGAGGTGAGAATATTTGATCTCCTATTGGAACTCAGTTTGAGTCCGAACCTTCTTCTGTGCCAACCTGGGGTATCTGTGTACCCATGTACTTTGTGCTGATGTAATTTGCTTAACATTGACATCTAAGAAATACTATACAATTTGTGCAGCAGATACTCTGTAAAAAGCCTACATTTTGAATCAAGTTGAACAGTAAAAACTGCTACTGATGCATTCACACACTGTAGCCTAGACCTCAGTGACACTCAACTTCTCTCCATGATGCCTCTGCAAATATTCTACCAAGTTTGCAGTATTAAAATATGTGGTTCTGCTGCCAGTCTGCGAAACACTCACATTGCGCAAATTGTACTCAGCAGAGGTGAAGTGAACACATCGATTAATTCCAGTTAAAAGTTTGTATGTGTTAACTGGTTTACCATGAGTAACATGGAGCCGACTACACAGGGAAAAGACAGAACTGACCTGGTTTTATTGTGTATTTGTTGATTTAAATTGGGCAAAATGTCCAGATATCTCTGTTTCAGGCCTTCTACCTTACATCCACATCGGCAAATGTGTACAAATCCATTACAAAAAGTAACAGCTACATGCTATAGGAGACTTTTGTTCCTACAGGTCATGTTTTAGAGAAGACAATCTGTATTTAAAAATCAGTAAACAGTCTGGAGTAAGTCTGAAGTTACAACCTAACTCCCTACTGACAGTAACAGCAGGAGACTGTGATATATGTCTCAGCTGCCACATATGGAATCATCTTTAGAAGTTGCATGGCAGTCTGACATTTCTTCTCCTGTCTTCCTTTTACTCAGGCGAAGTTTGAGCTGGTGACGTCTGAAGCGTCGTACATCCGCAGCCTGACGATCGCCGTGGACCACTTCATGCTGTCACAGGAGCTCTCTGAGTGCCTCGGAGCTCAGGAGAAGCAGTGGCTCTTCTCCAAGCTGCCTGAAGTCAAAGATGTCAGTGAGAGGTGAAGTGAAATGTTATTAGCGTCTCTCACGACGTCTGCTTTTACACCACACTTGTCAAGTCTTCCACTTCTAACCATCTTTTCTGCTTCACTTAAGGTTTCTGCAGGACCTGGAGCACAGACTGGAGGAGGATATTCTCCGTTTTGATGTGTGTGACATTGTCTTGGATCACTGCCCGGCTCTGAGGAGAGTCTACTTACCTTATGTAACCAACCAGGCCTACCAGGAACAGACGTATCAGCGTTTACTGTGAGTAGAACTGCTGGAGCTCACCAGAGCTATAATCAGTCCTGATCTTATCTGATTATCAAACAGGCAGAGATAAATAAATGTAGGAATATGCATTCCTATTTGAATGTAGACATATTTATTGCTGCAGTTGCATAAATTGGTATTGCCTAATGATGGATGTCCCTTATTTTCTCTCAGGCTGCTCAGGTGTTCTTTTACATCTGCGTGACATGACTTGCAAAAGTTAATTTTGAGTCAGCTGGAGATTTGTAGTGGGTTTTTTCCTCGTTTTCTATAAAAGTAATTTAGAGTTTTTCTTCTTCTTGTCATGTCAGACACGACAACCCTCGTTTCCCCAGCATCCTGGCCCGTCTGGAGGAGGACCCTATCTGCCAGAGACTTCCTCTGACCTCCTTCCTAATCCTCCCATTTCAGAGGATCACACGGCTTAAAATGCTGGTGGAGGTACATGGATAAATGTTCACTGCAAAATTCATGTTCACACTTGAAACTTAATTATCTGAAACTGTACTGGGATGATTTGGAACTGGCCAAGCTGTGTTTGCCCCAGCAAGTTTTTATTTCCCAGCAGTGCATGCTGTGCTGTGGTTCGTTCCCCACTTATCTTCACCATCATCTTTATTTTTTTAGAACATCTTGAAGAGGACGACACCAGGCTCTCGGGATGAGGACACGGCTACGAAGGCTTTCAATGAGCTGAAAAAGGTGGTGATTATCATGTGTAATAGTATATTTGGATGAGCTTCAGTCTCATGGTTAAGGCTCAGCAGTAATGACTGTGTTGGTGTGTGTGTGTGTGTGTGTGTGTCTTTGTAGATAATCAAAGAGTGTAACTCCAGTGTGCAGTCCATGAAGAGGATGGAGGAACTGATTCACCTTAATAAGAAGATTCATTTTGAGGGAAAGGTGAATCAATTTTAAACATTTCTTACTTTGATGCATAAAAGAAATTAAAGGTTTAAACACTGACACGACCATGTAAAATATACACATTGACATTTTAAATGAAACAAGTTAAAAACTGTCTATTTAATAAACTAGGAATCTTCCATCTTACTACATTTATTTCATACTTTTTTACTTTTTTTAACAAAATTCTTTTTTTTTCTTTGCAGATTTTCCCTCTGATCTCTCAGTCCCGCTGGCTGGTGAAACACGGTGAACTCCTGGAGGTGGACACTCAGATGATGAGCATGTCTGGATCAAAGCTGAAGCTGCCCACCAAGCCTGTGTACCTCCACCTGTTCAACGACTGCCTGCTCCTCTCCAGGAGGAAGGAGTAAGTTATGTTTGGTTTATTATAACTAAGATTTAATAATGCACTCTAGGGTAATAAAGTAGAAAGCTTTAAAAAAAACTAATACAGTGGAACCTCTACAGTTTTTGAACTTAATTCAATTCAGAAACTGAAACAATGTTCCCCATAGGAATCAATGTAAAATTGATTAATCCGTACTTATTTAATCATTTTCAACACATTTTGTCTAATGTTAGATAATTAGATAATTGTTAGATAATTAGATCTAACAAAAAAATAAAAGCACAACTGGATAAAGAATAAACCTTTAATTAGGAAAGCCAATTTCATTCGTCCTTACCGGTGCTGAGGAGTCAATGTTCATTTCGCTTTCTCAGTAATTATTGTCATTTTTTTGTCTTATGCAGTCCCTGGAAGTTTATGGTGTTTGTTCACGCCAAGATCGGAGCGCTGAAGGTGAAGGATCTCAGTCAGAAGCTGCAGGGCATCTCAGGATTCATTTTCCATCTGCAGCTGTGTGAGGGCCAGCAGCTAAAACACCAGATCCTGCTCAAATCCCACACTGAGTGAGTAATGCCCAGGTCAGACCACACAAACTGTAGACTGATCCAAGACCTCAGCCTTCAGCACACGTCTACTTTAAACGGCACGGCTCTGCAGTGTGTCACGGTGATTCAGCCCCACGTCTGGTCTGCCTTATGACCTCCTAACGAGAGGTCGGCCGTGTTAGAGTTTATTCTTGCCTCCTTTGATGTGTTACAACATGTCAGTGATGCAGACAAATTAGGCAACAGAGCACAGATCATTATGTGGAATAGCCGAGATAGGCACAGAGGGTTTTACAGCCACGACAAACAAAACTGCAACTGTAAATAAATTCAAATCTTACTCCCTCTGTAGGTGGTATAAAATGAGCACTTTCCCCATTTCAATTGATAGCACTGTTGTTTGCCCCCTTCCCTTAGGTTGAGAGTCTGGGGGCCATCCTTAACAGCACATATATAACATATTACATACTTCCACATCTGTAACATAATCCGCCCTCGGCCCCTCCCTCAGCCTTTATTCCACTGCTGTTGGGGTTCAGTTTTGTCATTGCCTGTTGCAATTTCCTTGTTTTGGTTCTTCCACATAAAGTTCACCAAGTCAGATAAGATTGAAATTCTGCCTCACAAAAATACCCTTCATTCTCAGATAGATATGTAGGTATAGAATTAATAGAATGTTTTTGTTTTTACACCCAAGGTCATCTTGATTTTTTCCTGACTGCTTTGTTTCACATTTTTAAATTCACCTTGCATGCATGTTGTCCTTAAATGCTTCGAAATGTGCCTTTAAACATGATATTAATAATACATAATACACTTCTTTAAGCCTTTTGAAATCAGTGCATCATTATAGTCATAAAATAAAATGAAAACTTTTGTTTCTTTTAAAACTACAGTTGGGATCAAAACAACAACTGGCAACAATCTGATCAACAAATCCTAGGATTTTATAAACTATCTGGTGTGGATGTGACTTTAAAACAGAAAAGTCCACTTTCATTCCAGATCTTTCTTTCTTTTTTTATCCTTTTAAAATATGGCACAAGGTTTCAAATGTTAGACTAGATGAAACATGCCTCAGCAGATGGCGCTTTAACCGTCTTTGTTGGTATTGCTTAATCCAAGGAGCGGGAAACAGAGATGGATCACGGCCATGTTTCCATCCAATCCTCTTGAAGACATCGAACAGGCCAGTGAAAATGACGGTCAGTACGGAGGTGGAAGGTCATCGTTGTTTTGTTCCACCATACTGAATCTGTTAACTCTTTCTTCATTATTTCTCCTCAGATATATCACAGGTTCAGTGCATCAAAAGTTATCAGGCTCAGGAGCACGACGAGCTGACGCTGGAGAAGGCCGACATTCTTCATGCTAAGACCATAACAAGTGACGGTAGGAAGACATTTGTTAATCACACAACTGCTGCTGCAGTCAATGTCACAAACCGCTGTGATTTGATAATTTAACAAATGACGTTGTGTTCTTTCACCAGGCTGGGTCGAAGGCATCAGACTGTCCGACGGGGAACGGGGCTGGTTCCCCAAAACCTACGTGGAGGAAATCACCAGTCGCAGTGCGCGACTACGTAACCTGAGAGAAAATATCCGAATCAAATGTGTCACACAGAAGCTGGAGGGAGAAGACTGATCTGTGGTGCTGCGACCGTTGACATTTCATATGTCATATTTCACCTTGAGGATCCTGGATCAATGCCTTATTTTTCAGTTTCTTTAACTTGTAGCAGAGAAACCTGACATTTCACACATGGTTCTCGTGTAACAGGTTTCAATGCAGTAAAAGCCTGACACCAGTTGGCAGCAGGACACCATGGTGTGCCTTTATAGAAACAGCTGTGCTGGAAGACTCATCTGAAGTTAATATTTGTTCAAGAAGTGACTCTTCACTATTAGACTGAATCAGTTTTCTTTGAATTTTACAGAAAAAATGTTTTTTGTTTTTTTAAACAACAGTAGAAAATCACCTGAAGCCGATTCTGCAGCTGAGCTGACTCACGCACATCAGAGGTTTTCTAGCCCTGACTTCATATCAGATTCATCTAGAATTTTGGATCCAGGTGTCTGATAAAACAAACATTTCCCATGACTGAAGAACAACTTCCTGCTCATCACATGAATGGACCTTATGGGTATTCTTTATTGCCCAGACAAACAACGACACTCTGGATTAGTTAAAGAAAATCCACTTTCCTTTTACAGCATTCAAAGTGTCTGACAATATGTTGAGGTGAGTAAAGGTCTAGAATGTTTTCAGAGCTTCTGTTCGTTACTGTCATAATACTCTACAGAAAAAAACTGCTGCAGATATACAGTCATCAAATTCATTACAATCCACTAGAGAGAAAAAGCCCCAGCTGATTGACTACAAATGTCCAGAGGTGAGGGATTGTTTTATTGTTATTGTTCTTCTTTCTTCTCCTCTTTTCTTCCCCCTCTCTTCTTTATCTTTTGCCTTTCACCTGTTTTTCCTTTATTCACCCTCCTCCTATGTTCTACCTTTTCCCATCCATTTTGTTCCCTCTCTTTTTTACTTCTTCTTTTGTTCCTGACTATTTCCACTGTTGACATCAATGTCAACTACTACTTCTTTTTCTTTCGGCTTTGTCCCTTTTTTTCAGGGGTTGCCACAGCAAATCATTGATTTCCATCTCTCCCTGTTCTCTGTATCTTCTACTCTGACTCCAACTATCTGCATGTCCTCCCTCACTGCATCCATATATCTCCTCTTTGGCCTTCCTCTCTTTCTCCTACCTAGTAGCTCCATCTCTAACATTCTTCTACCAATGTATCCAATGTCCCTCCTCTGCACATGTCCAAACCATCTCAATCTGGCTTCTCTGGCTTTTTCTCCAAACCTTCCTGTCTGTGTTGTCCCTCTAATGACCTCATTCCTGATCCTGTCCATTCTTGTCACTTCTAAGGAGAATCTTTAAGAGGGCATCTTTAACTCTGCCCCCTCCAGCTCCGCCTCCTGTCTTCTGCCTATTGCTACCGTCTCTAAACCATACATCATGGCTGGGCTCACCACCGTCCTGTAAACCTTTCCCTTCACCTTAGCTGACACTCTTCTGTCACAGATCACTCCTGACACTTTTCTCCAGCTGTTCCATCCTGCCTGTACTCTATTCTTCACCTCTCTTCCACAGTCTCCTCTGCTCTGAACAGTTGATCCTAAGTACCTAAACTCCTGCACCTTCACCACCTCTGCTCCTTGTAGCCTCACTATTTCACTGTTCTGCCTTTCGTTTACACACATGTACTCTGTCTTGCTGCGGCTGACCTTCATTCCTCTTCTTTCTAGTGCAAACCTCCACCTCTCTAGGTTCTCTTCTAGCTGCTGCCTACTCTCACTACAGATCACAATGTCATCTGCAAACAACATAGTCCATGTCACATCAATGTCAACTACTACTGGGCTGAAATTCACATGTTGAACAAAATGTTGTTTTTGCTAAACTAAGTTTTTGACTGCATATCTTTTCAGGAAAAAGCTTTTTACATAAAACATTTGTAAACATTCAGCCTTGTTGCACACTAATCACACCACAGTGTAGATTAGCACTCACACTCTGTAAACACTAAATTACATGTACTTTATCATGATTTCCTATCTTGTAAAAAAAAAAAAAAAGCACCATACATTGATCAAGAGTGCAGTAAAACTGCTCCTGTTAATGCACCACTCTAATCACCATTCAGTTAGAACCTCCACCAGTGGCACATGACATGTCTATAATCTGACTGTCTTTTCTATAACAGAGTTAGTTCTAATTTAAGTGGTTGCTGTTGCAGCATGTCTATTTATACTCCTGTAGCTGGTTTTTCTCTAAGGAGATTCTCGATGTAAATGTACTTTACTGTAGATGCCTTGTGTATAAAGCGTAGAAAATAGTTCTTTTACCTTTTTTGTAACAATAATTTATATATAAATACATAAAAGAGACATTTATAGAGCTATAATTCCTTTCATTCAGAGTCATTTGTCACACCAGGACTATGAATATAAACACTGTAATACACTGGATGTTTACTCGATATTCCGACACTGTAAATGTTTGTAACCACTAAAATAAAAACAGATCTTTCATTTGATACTGTGTGGAAACACAGTAATAACTACAAATATTCAACATCAATCATTCTCTCATCACTCTTTTTTTTAAATTGAACACCTACTGGAACGTTGTGTCGAACTACAGATCCACAGTTTCTACGTTTACCATTTCTACAGCCGGTAATCTGCCTTTATTCCCCAGGTTCTGGACTCATTTCTCTTTGTGTTTTCCAGCCTCTCAGAGAAGTTCACATCTTCACTCTACCTTCATGTGAGGCACAGTTTTAGGTAAAACTAATATGTACACGCTATATGCATAGTTTAATTGGTTATAAATGTTCAAACCTGGACAGAAGTCAGCTGTGACCATTGATGTGATGTTGAT